CGCTGGGTGCCTGCCATGCCGAAGTCCGGTTCTTCCAGTTGCCCAGTGGCCCCGGAGAGGCCAGGATGCCAGTGTCCTGCACGTTTCGCCGTCCCCCTCCCTCCGTGGACCCCGACCTGGCTGCAACAGTGGAGATCTTCCCGTTTTTCCGAGGGGAGGCTCCAGGCGGGGAGGGGAACGGACCGTCCCGGGGGGCTGCTCAGGACTCTCCTTTCCTCCTTCTCTCCTGCCCTAGCTCACCTTCCCCCGCTCAATGGCTTAGTGCCACCGCGCGTAAATATTTGTTAAGACGGAGTTGGGTTGCCTGACAGCTGTGATGTGGGGAGGTTGGACTGGGGCCCACAGAGCGGGAGATCCAGGCACCCCGATTGTGACTCCATTACAGTTCTTCCGGGCCTTTCACCCTTGGTGACGCCGCGCCCCTTCGCCTTTCCAAAACTACAGCAAGAGCATGTAGTAAGCGCTCCTTAAATGCCTCTCTCCCCACCTTTAAAACTTTTTTTTTGAGATCGAGTCTTGCCCTGCCGCACAGGCTGGAGTGCAGTGGCGCAATCTCAGCTCACTGCAACCTCTGCCTCCTGGGTTCAAGCGATTCTCCTGCCTCAGCCTCCTGCGCAGCGGGGATTACAGACGCAGGTCACCATGCCCGGCTAATTTTTGTATTTTTAGTAGAGACGGGGTTTCACCATGTTGGCCAGGCTGGTCTCGAACTCCTGGCCTCAGGTGATCCGCCCACCTCAGCCTCCCAAAGTGCTGGGATTACAGGTGTGAGCCACCTTGCCTGGCCTAAAAATTTTTAAAGTTAACTTTTTAAAGAGACAGGGTCTCACTATGTTACCCAGACTGGTCTCAAACTCCTGGGCTCAAGCGATCCTCCTGCCTCAGCCTCCCAAAGCTCTGGGATTTACGTGGGAGCCACTGCTCCCAGCCCCACTGGCTCTGCCTTCTCTTCCAGGAAGCTCCACAGAATGACTTGAAAGGACTTGATCTGGGCCTGGGGTGTTCTGGGTAGAGGACAGTGCCACTTTTTTGAGCACCTTCTGCAGGTGGATCCCCGGAGTCCAGTCCCGCCCTCCATTTTCCCACCATCTGGGGGTTCCCATGCCAGGCAGCCTGAGAACAGTCTGAAATCTGTGTCCAGACCCTGGAGGTCCCCAGGTGCCTGGTCCCATGTGCAGTGCAGCAGGTGGCATGGGCATGGCCCGGCTGTGCCTGCCCCCGGGAGCAGGTCCCTGGCCTCTGCCCTCCCTTTCCACATCCCTGGGGCCAGTGGGCAGGAATTTAGGTCACAGAGCGCCCAGGAGGCAGGCAGCAGGGAGGGGCTGGCTGGGGCACTGTGTCACCAGAGAGGAAACTGAGGCACAGGGAGGCAGGGGCTGCCTCTGCGCCTGTTGTGTCTGAGGCATACACCCCTCCACCCCCAGTCCCATCTGCTGCTAATCATGGGGGCTGGGCCCCCCTCCACAGTTCTGATGTCCAAGGTCATCCTCCCGTTGCTGAAGCTGCAGGAACAGGGATTTAAGGGAGGGACGCCCTGGGAGAGTCACTCCTCCCCACAAGCCAGGCCTGGGGAGAGGTAGCATTCCCTCATCCCCCCTCTCCCACCTCATTCAAATCGACAAATCCCACACCCCTGGGTAACATACGAAGAAACTCAGAGGAGACAGTGACCGGGAGGCCACACAGCCTCCCAGCTGGGGGACTCCGCCTACCCGTGACCTCGGGTGCTTGTGGATAAAGACTAAAGCAGGTAGGAGGGGCTGGGAGGGACTTGGGCCTCTGCCCTTTGGTCCGGAAGCGGCCTCTATCTCACTCTGCAGATAGCAGCTCCAGGGGAGGAGGAAGGAGGCTGTCCAAGCTCTCTGAAGCACGGGGGTTCCCTGTGTGACCTTGGGCAACTCCCACCCACCCCCAGTTCTGAATAAGATAATTCAGGGAAAGCACAAAACCTGGCACACAATAGGCGCTTCATAAATGCAGCTGTCGTCATCATTCTTTTCAGAGCCAGGTTCAGGATTGGGGCTGAGCTGGACACACACACCTTTTTCTCTGAACACCCTCCTTGCTGGGACTGTGTTATTGTTGCCCGAAGGCACTTAATAAATGTGGAGAAGGGCAGGTCGCGGCGGCTCACGCCTGGAATCCCAGCACTTTGGGAGACCGAGGCGGGCGGATCACCTGAGGTCAGGAATTTGAGACCAGCCTGGCCAACATGGTGAAACCCCGTCTCTACTAAAAATACAAAAATCAGCTGGGTGTGGTGGCACGCTCAGCTACTCAGGAGGTTGAGGCAGGAGAATCGCTTGAGTCCGGGAGGCGGAGCTTGTAGTGACCTGAGATTGTGCCGCTACACTCCAGCCTGGACGACAGAGCAAGACTCCGTCTCAAAAATAAATAAATGAATAAAAATAAACGCGCAGAAAGGAGTTCTCTCTGTTAACTTGTTATTACTTTTTTTTTGCGACAGAGTTTCGCTCTTGTTGCCCAGGCTGGAGTGCAATGGCATGTTCTCGACTCACTGCAACCTCTACCTCCTGGGTTCAAGCAATTCTCCTGCCTCAACCTCCTGAGTAGCTGGGATTACAGGCATGCGCCACCACTCCCGACTAATTTTGTATTTTTAGTAGAGATGGGGTTTCTCCATGTTGGTCAGGTTGGTCTCGAAATCCTGACCTCAGGTGATCCGCCCACCTCAACCTCCCAGAGTGCTGGGATTATAGGCATGAACCACTGTGCCCAGCCCTCTCTGTTAACTTGAAACCATAAGAGGCAGGGGCCATTACCACTCCCACTTACCAAGGGGGAAACTGAGGCTCCGTGCAGCCACAGCCTTGCTCAGTGCCGGCTGGTGAGTGCACAGCCAACCAAAGGGCTCTCCTCCACCCGGGGGATGGAAATGCTGGGGTTTGCTGCCTCCAAGACGGGGAGGGGGTAGTACTGCCCCCCACCCTGCCCCAGGGACACTGGGTGATGTCTAGGGATATCTGTGGTCGTCATGACTGGGGAGCTGATGGCATGGAGAGGGCAGAGGCCAGGGACGCTGCTCAGCACCCTGCAGTGTCCAGGACAGCCACCTCCCCTCCCCGCCGAAAACAACCAAGAATGACCCGGCCGGGCGCGGTGGCTCAAGCCTGTCATCCCAGCACTTTGGGAGGCCGAGGCGGGCGGATCACGAGGTCAGGAGATCGAGACCATCCTGGCTAACATGGTGAAACCCTGTCTCTACTAAAAATAC